ACAATTTCCTATTTGTGGTTATATACATGTACAGATCAAAGTTAAACAATTGTCCCATTGTCCATACAATCAGTTATGTTATCGCCATTTATCATCATTTCTTATCGTCAGTGGAACCTTTAAAGTGACCTCTATAATACGGACACCTCTCTAATACAGACACTTTGCTCCGTCCCTTTGGTGTCAGATCCTCCCACCTCCACTTTGGACCCTCCCTCCCCTGGTCTGCCACTGAAATCAGACTTGGACTGAAATGCATGCATAAAAATCACTTGCCCAAGTTCATCCAGATGGGTTATCCATCAACAATAAAAAAACAATATTTTTCTTATAGTTCAATAACAGTAACATAAACAGTTTCTTGTGTTCCTATTCTTTCTCTTGACATTTCCCCAACTGGTCTCTTGTTTTGAATCAGATACTTGTTGGGATTCTTGTAATTTTTCTGTGATATAGTTTCATTAATTTTAGTTGATAAAGTTTATTTTAAAAATATGATAATGTGAAAATTATTTAGTGTTATGTTGTACTGGCATGCTATAACACATTTTCTAAAGTTTCTTTTCTTTGTATTTTTCACTTTTGGCACCTGAAAACTCATGAATATTTAAACACAGAAAATCTCCTAAATATATTAGGTAAATAGCAGATTTACTACGTTTATTCTTGGAGAATAAATCTTACTAAGCTTCTACTTCTTGGGATTTTTTCTTTTCCTCTAAAATGAATTCTCTCTTACGCGTTTTTAAAGCCTTGAACTTCTCTATTATTTCTTTCAGCTTCGTTTCAAGGTTCACCATCTCACAGCTTAGTTCAATGGCGCTCTGAAAGTTCTTTTGACCCGTTCTTAAACATCCAGGAACCAGAATTCCAAACCATTTAAGAGGATCTTGTACACAGCCATTGATCGAACCTTCCAAAGACAATTTGTCTTCTTTGGATAGACTCAATTCCTCAATACCTGTTATTTCCTCAGTCAAACTGTCTGATTTTTGCGGTTTTCTTCGTCTCAGAACGTTTCTCTCCTCGTCCTTTTCATCAATATCAGCTTTTGAAGTTTGCATAACTTTTCCAGGCAAGAATTTTTCCAGCTCAAATGTCACACAAGTGTTATCGAACTTCTCTTTAGAATCCACATCTCCAATGTGATACAATGCACAGTCCATTTTGTGACTGTATTGCAAAGCTCCCACCGACTTGTTCCCCATGGAATAACGCGCTTTTGATAAGTTAAAATGCCCATCTCTTATTGCAGCATTCAGATATTCTCTCTTTTCATTAAGCCGTTCGAGATTGTCGAAAAATTCAACGGTGAGCTGATCAAGATCGCAACAAATATCCTCCATATTGGAAAGAATGTTGAGGGGTACTGGGAATGAGTATCGACACTCACCCCAGTCCTTCATGCAAGTTACGTGGCCGCGATTTTTTCCCGGGGTGGGGTGTGGTGGGGGTGGGGGGGGGGGTGAATTATTTGTTAAGACGTCGCCTATCCATCATGATACATTTACCCCAAAATCCCATTCATCCCTCGAAAAACCACTAAAAACAATTAACAAGTGCAAATTTACTAGCAGAACAGTGACCTTTCTAAGTAAAGTTTAGCCTCCTCGCAGACGTTCTTTGGCTCGTCACGCAATCTTTCCTCCCCCACTAAGTTAGTTAGTGGGGAGGAAAGATTGCGTGACGAGCCCAAAGAACGTCTGCGAGGAGGCTAAGTAAGTTGGGTTCATGCTGTTATTGGTTTATTTATTTATTTCATCTGTCGGCGGCAGGAGCATATCACCCCGGAGCCTCTATCTGTACTGATTAATGACAACAGCGTAGTTACACGTTACGCTCTTTTTAGAATAATTCTCCCGCGAAAAAGATTTCCGTGTACATCCGCGGACAATAGTGATAATTCGTAGTAACGACATTCCACCGTTCTAGTTTTATTCCACGTTCCTCTCGTCCATTCTTGGTTTTATTTTTAATCTGAAACATGAATGACAACCTCGTCCTCGTGCTCGCAACGGGTGATTTTCGCGGCAAAAGTAATTCTAAAAATAGCTCAAGGTGTAACTACGCCGTGTCATAGGGCCAATAATAAGGGAGATGGAGGCTCCAGGGTGATATGCTCCTGTCGGCGGTGATATGAAGGAAAACAGAGGCATACTTGGTGTGGCGGAAACCATTGTATTTTAGTTCTTTTGTGTTACGTCATTACACTAAGAAACTGCTGAAAAAGATAACGGAAAATGTTTATATCTGCTATTTGTGTTTTGTTCTTAATTAAACGACGTGAAGCTGGGTTTATAGGTCATTACTGGGATCAGTCAATAAGAGATGTAATATAACAGATTTGTTCAACAAAAACTTGTAACATACCGTAAAATTCCGAAAATAAGCCCCGGGGCTTACAGGCCTACACAACTCCTACAGTTCGTGACATTTGTACATTACTGTTCTGTATTAAATTCGGTCTTTCGACCTATTTTGCTTCGCATATGTTTCTTGAGGGTACTATATGCTTCGAATTTGGGGGGCTTATATATTCGGAGGGGCTTATATTCGGAGGGCTAATATACGGAGGGGCTTATATATGCGGACCGTTTAGTAAATAAACCCAGCAAGGACTTCTCGACCTAAAAGAATCAAGAAAGATTTTAAATATTCTCAAAATTTCACGGTCAACTGATGTGATATAATTCCAACTGCTTTTGTGTTTTTTTTTAATGGCGTTTTTTTATACTGCATGTTCTCCTCGCATTTGTTATAACCACTTTTATTTCCCAGAAAATTAAATTATCAGTTGGCTACTTTTGGAGGGTCGTTTACTTTAGGTGTGTCCCTACTTTCGTTGGAATTTTGAGGAACTTTACTGAAGCAGCAAAATGTTTCGGGGTCCATTTGTTTTCGAATTGAAATATATTTTCTTTGTGTTTTGAAAACATCCGTAGCTCACAGTCGGAGGTAGACTGATTCTGGTCGCTTGCCGGCTTTGGGAAGGACCTACGTGAAACTTGAATGGTTCTAAGCTAGTCCGCGATATTTAATACAGTTACACGACAAAAATGTCGCCAACTGCACAATTTTTTTAAACTTTGTCCTTATTTCCGGCAAAATATTAACGTAGTATTTCAGGTAAATCTGACAACTGTCTGCTCATATTTTGCGCGTCTCTGATTGGTCAAAGCCACAGAAAGCATGCCATGTAGTTTATTATGTCAGCAAATTCTAATTCAGTTACAGATAACAGTTCAGTGTCATTCCGTTGTCTTTTTCGCGTTGCATCGCTTTGAATTGTTTATTGTGGCTGAAAACTCTACAAGGTAAAGGAAAGCTTCTATTTTTGATATTTGTTTTTAGTTATAGTCGGTAAATTTGTTCCGCCTCTAAGGAAGGCAGTGCTGTTAGAATTTAAGGGAGTTTTTGTCCAAGAAGTTGGCTGATGAACTGAGCTCATAACTACGCGAACGACTCAGTGACTTGTTGGCAATCAAAACTGGCTGCGTACAACATATTTATACAAATTTAGATTTCGAAATTAACTGAATATAAGGAGCGGAAAAGGTGCAAAGCAACCAAAATGTTTCCGGGTCTTTTTTATTAGCCTTGACGGTAAGAGCAGTAGTCAAACGAACTGTAACTGAGAAATAATTTTTCCAATACCCGCGACTGGTGTTTCGAGGGACAGAAGTTCAAAGTCTTCTTGGAAAATCAGGTTGAGAAAAAAAAAAAAACGAGATGTCATGCATTTTGTTTATTATTTGTTTGTTTGTTTGTTTGTTTGTTTGTTTTGTCGAAAGAATCACCAAAATTAGTTTATGAGAAAATTTCACATCCACGGCGCGATTGAATTGCCACCCTCGCAATTTAAAGAAAAAATTTCAACTGGAAACAATATATGTGTTCTACTGTTCTACAAATTCGTCCATGTCGGTCAAGTCCCTATGGTTTCATTAATTCCTATAATCTAAAACATCATGACTGATATATGAAACAATTTAAAACTGTAGATATCTTATACAATTTTGGTAGTAGAAAGCTAGAGCATCGAGACCTAAGAGCGAAAAATTAGTCAATAAACTTGTCTTTCTACCCTGATGGATCGTATTGTTTTCAACCTTTCAGTCTTGCAGATCAATGAAGACAGCCATTATATTTCTAGTTCTCGTTACTGGGATAAGTTAAGATGAACTTCAAGTTTATTTCTGATCTGATCAGTATAGCTGAAGAATAGATAAACAAATGAGATGTAGGTAACAAATTGCTTACAGTGCGACGCGCCTTATCGTAGCACCCACAACTTTTTTACAAGTGTCCTCTTCGTAATATTATAACTTTTGTTGATAAATACGATGTGACAAGTTACACATTTGATCGTGTTAAACTTTTGCAAGGAGGCCATGTCCGTCAAACAAATTATACTATTACGAGAGGACACTTGTAAAAATGTTTGTTGGTTGGCCTACGGTAAAGGCGCGTCGCCACTGTAATTTCAACCGGGCCTATATATATATTAGTAAAAATCTACTAGTATACTAATGCAAATGAGACAATCTGATTGGCTGAGCTACTTAGCAAGCCAACGTAAAGCGAACGAACTTGACATGATTACCCGTGATTACCCGTGATCCTCTCGCGAACTTGACATGATTACCCGTGACTTGAGTGCACTTGACATGATTATTGTTATAATCTGTAGGTAGATGACGTAGATGCCTTTTAAAGCGCTGATTTCGAAAATTCAACTGTACGCTTTCGGGCCAATCAGAAAAGAGATTAGTGAGTTGAATGTATAATAAATTAAGTTAATTGGTTTCTTGTAAAGTGATGAGCATGTAGTTTGAGCATTGGAGCAAAAACCTTGCTCGAGCTGAAATCAAGTCGGTAACAAAAAGTAACGTGACCGCAACAGAGAGTTAATACGCGCAGGATTGCTCTTTCCGATAGATTGCAAAAAAAAAAAAAGGACAAATCGCAAAGTCGAAAAGAAAAGCCTGAAAAATTATTTTTGGCACCAACGGGATTTCGCACCCATTACTTTTCCGATTCACCGGTTGCAACGCTCTACCAACTGAACTATGAGGCCACTGGGAGCTGGTCAATTGCGAGTTCTATTTATATCCCGTCATGTGATTGAAATGGCTATGATGAATATATGAAATAATTTCTATATGTGAACTACGATGCAAGAACGAAAGAGAATGAGATCTTCGCTCTAAACTAGGTCTAATAGCTTCGCCGGATACTCCTGGGTGGAGGGATGGCACTCAATATGGAGTCCAACGGCGCGCCACATCTCCCACACAAGATATCTGCATGCGGGCGCTAATATAGCAAAGCATCAAAATTTATGAGCCAGTTCACTGAGGATCAAGTAATTTTGGAAATGTCCGAAACAACCCTTACCACAAACTTTTTCTGGTGAGAGAAGTATTCATAAGCAAAGTAATCAAATGACAGTAAAAAGTTTGGATAAATGTGATGTTTGATCACGTGACAAAAACCGATTAAAGTTTGATCCCCCTGGGGAGCATTTTCCCAAAATGGCTAACTTTTGCGCTGTCTCTCATCGCAACATAGAAAAACTATCTTAAATCAAATTCATCCGCCATTACTAACCATTTTTTTCACTTTATAAATCTTAGTCCTTTTCACGGTCCCTGGCATGGCTTCAGTGCAGAGAAACAGGTTTGAGACAAAAGGGCGGTTTGAAGGTTTTGTTAAAGTGGCAATTTTTAGTCATTTTCAAAGAAAAAATTATTGTGTAAGTATTCACAGTATATTATTGTTTTATACATTTTAGAAACAGAGCAAAGGGTGTTAATATGAAAATATAGAAAAATTTCCGCGGGGAATTAATTAGGCGTCAAATAATTCAGTCCAAGCAAACGACGAATGACTAAATTCACGAAAATTTCAACGGATTACACCAGGGGGGGGGGGGGGGGATAGAAACTTCCTTGTAAATGGTTTGCATAATTACAGGCATAGCGTGGCCGTCAACCCGGCACCGTAATCTCTAATAAGATAAAGTATAGGCAAAAAAAACAGCTCCAGTATACTACTATAGCAGAAAAACGTGCCAGTGACTTCCTTCGGTGATTAAGCTGCAGTCCAACTAACATCGGATACGAGATTCTCTGGAAGCGTCTCACAAGAAATGTTCATGTCGAGAGCCTCACCTAAATGGCGCGACGCAAGCGAAACTGACGCTCTGGTTTTTTTCAACGAACCTAATTAAAGCTAGAATACAAGAGTAAAGAAAGTGAAGGCGATCACCGAATTTTAAAACTAAAGCGAGTATAACTTCAAGGAATTACCTTCAGATGATGGTTAGATTGAGATGTTAACGCTACGGCAAGCTCCAAGCAAACAAACAAACTAACTTACGTTCCCTTGCTCTTACCTCACCCGAACAGCCTTACTAAAATAGACTGAGGGGGCTTTTACAATGGATATGGAAAGGTTTGGACATTACTGTCTGTTATTTCTCTCAACAAAACAATTCAAATACATGTTATAAAATCATATCGCCATCGCCATTGGATTTAATTAATCAGCTGTCAATATTGACAATGAGTGTCCAAATGTGCAAACTATTTTGCCAGATATCTCGAGTTGTCCGATTTTTTGCTGAGATAATATGGGATATAGGAAGAATATTTCAGGCGGGACAATGTTTTGACATCTTTTTCTTCCATAAAGCACTGTATTCTCACCTCAGTCAATTTTCACGTAGAAGATTTCACCTTGAAAAGGTCTACTTTTAGAAAGAATATCGTGAGTGAAAAGGGGGGGGACTCTTTTAAGAGTAGATGATTGATGAAAGCAACATAAAGCCAATGATCTTAGAATATCGGGACCAGGTCCTGTTAATTTTGTATCTAGACAGCATCACTAGAGAAAATGTGCCCGGGGGTTACATGTTATTAAGACTTTTTTTGCCGTGATTTTGCAACTCCCGAAATAAGAAGATAGAATGTACATCCGCGAACATTTCCACGATCAAAGTTTCTTTAAACTGTCTATAACAGGGACAAAAGAAAACTAGTTTTTTGAAAAATATATGATTGACGAGGACAACATGCGAGCCAGCCCACTTAACCGAGTTCTCACTACGGACATAATGATCATAATCATAAGCTCGAACGGTTCACACTAGCTACATTAAGACATAACGACCCATGACTCACGCTTACTAGTAGTTCCCACTAGCGACATAAGGATCATAACATAAGCATAATCATAAGCTTCTTATGTTTCCTAGTGGGAAGGTATGTAGAAAATTTCCTACCAGCTTAAAGCTTTTCCCGAGACCTTAGCGCACCTATGTGCACACAGGAATCGAGCCGTTGGAATTGTACCCAGGTTCCTAAAACATTAGATGTGACAAATTCGGCCATTTCCAACACAGATTTTTTCATTGCTTCATATGGTAACCTGAATTGTTTGGCAATTTCAAGATTTTTGATTATCGTGTGAGATTTTGGGGCCAAATCGTGAGACTGTTAGTTGGTACACCAAACGCGCTGGAGTCCTCACGGTCAAACCGTGATAGTTTGGCAGGGGCTGTACCCACCATCTTCTCTTCGAAAGAGAATTGCGACGCCGCCATCTTAAAATGAGGTCGACCGGACATGTACTGGAGCTAGACGTTTATTGGCCAAAACACAATGACCTCATTGCGTGCATTATGATTTTCACGTTCCCACTTCAAATAAGAGCCAACATAGTCATAGTCACATACCATAATCATAATAAAATGATTGAGATTATCTGATTATGTCGATCATAAGGCGCTTAATGATTATGTTCTAGGCGTTCCCAACTAAGACATTAGCGACATAACGGCGTTTAGTTCGAGCTTATGATTATGATTATGATCGTTATGCCGTAGTGGGAACTAGGCTTTAGGCTTTAGTTCCCACTAGCGACATAAGGATCATAAGCATAAGCATATAAGCATAAGTATAAGCATAATCATAATCATAATCATAAACATAAGCTTCTTATGTTGTAGTGGGAACGGTATTGTGCGTATTTTAGAAAAATTTCTACCAGCTAAAGCTTTTTCCCAGAGACCTTAGCGCACCTATGTTTCACAGGAATGAATTTACCCAGGTTTTTCCTCAAACATTAGATGTGACAAATTTGGCCATTTTCAACACAGATTTTTCAATTGCTTCATATGGCAACCTGAATTGTTTGGAAAATTTCACGATTTTTCTTAATCACGTGAGACTTGGGGGCCCAAACGTGGGACCGTGAGTTAATACACCAAACCGCGTGAGTCTCACGGTCAAACCGTGAGAGTTGGCAGGTCTGATACCCGCCATCTTCTCTTCGAAAGAGCTCGAGAGGTGCGACACCGCCATCTTAGAATAAGTCCGACCGGAAAAGTACTGGAAGCTAGGACGTTTATTGGCCAAAACAAAAATGGCCCCATTGCGTCATTATGAATTATGATTATGATTATGTCGTTATGATTTTGACGTTACCACTACATATAAGAGGCAACGTAATCATAATAAAATGATCGTCGATCATAAGGGCGCTTATGATTATGTTTCTAGACGTTCCCACTAAGGACATAAGCGACATAACGGCGTTATGTTCAGCTTAGTTCCCAATACGACATAACGATCATAATCATAATCATAAGCTCGAAACATTACGCCATTATTTTTTAGTAGGGAACGCTCTAGAAACATATAATCATAAGCGTCCTTATGATCGATAGATAGAGACATTCGTTCAGTATTTATTTATACATCAGGGTCCTCATTAGGCCCATAGGCTGAGTCATCAAGCGCATGTCTTGAGAGACGCGAGAAACAACCTCGCTTGAAACAAATCTACAGAGAAGCTCCTATCATATCACACAAGCGAGGGAAATCTATTAAAAGATATACTCGTTAAGGCAAATATATGGGAAGGGCTAAAAAACATGCGCTGTAAGAGGCGTGATTTAAGGCTTGTCAACCCATTGAAACAGTCGCGAAATGTAGATTATCTTTTTCTTAACTTCACAATCAGTGGAAGTGAAACAACTGCATATAAACAAATTTTATTCTATTTTTGCTGCTCAAGGGGGGGGGGGGGGGGGGTTGTCACCCCCTCTCCTGGATCCGCTTCTGATGTCGTTATGTCGCTAGTGTGAACATGCAGTCATAAGACACATTAGCATTACCAACGACATAGACATAACGACATAAGGAAAATATCAGTTTTTTCCCTATGTATGGACTAGTAAAGGTTCGAATCTTTCTTTCTTCTTTCATGTAAATAAAGTCTATAGGCGATTATAGGATACAGATGATAAAATATTGACTTGTTTAAACGACTGAAATTATAAATATGTATGTATGATGGGAATTCCAGGAAGTGTTAGGCTAAAAATTTATTCATAGAAAATAAGTCCTCACAATAGACCATTTTACAGTTCTGTGAAATGTAACCAAGCCTCTGTATGAAAGTGAGGTTAGGGGTGACCATGAGATGATGGAGATCAGAAAACTAGTTTACATAAACGGTAGAAACGGCGCTATATAAATAAAGATTATTATTATTATTATTATTATTAATAACAGAATAATTTACATTTCAAAAGAAGGAAGTTTTATATCACAACAAAGTCACCTCCAGCCTCACTTATGTTCAAAGGCCTGGATTCTAAGCACACAACTGTTCAAAATGGACTATTAGAAAATGTGTCACCAGTTCTCTATGATACACCTATTTCAATTAACGTTGTTGGATGGAAGCGTAAAGCCTACAAAACAAGACTGAATGGTATTCTGGGTATTAATTAGAATTTGCATATCGGTGGAAAATTATTCGCACATGATGTATTTGAAAAGCTAAAGTGAAAAGCTGAAGTGTCACTCTGAGCAAATATGTTGGTTAAATATTTTTATGAACTAGAAATTTCTAATAGAAAGTAAAGTGCTGCGGCCAGAAAATTGATAAACAAGAATCCTGAACATACAACCTGATCCCCCACAATCAAGTGGCTGAAACTTATGTGCAAATTAGCTCATGTACTGATGTTACTGATGTTATGTACTGATGTTACTGATGTTTATA